ACTCCAACACATCAAGTATCAATTCAAGTGACCACCATAGTTTGTCAATCTCTATAACGAATGCACCAATCAATGCAACTCGTGACACCCCTCTCTTTGCTAACAAGTCAAGTTCCCTTCCGTTTCTAGCTGAAGTCTAAATGTCTCATTCTCCACACTCTTTTTTTTTTTTAGTTGGGAACGGCAGCTCCGTCACAACCCGTGGGTTTTAGCCCTTCGTGCTCGTCTAGAAACGGAAATTATTGGAATTATACACTAGAGCCCCCACAGATTGACAGCTGTTGCAGCCCATGCTCTTTTTTTTATTTTTTATTTTTTTGTACCAAACGGCTTTTCGACTCCACCAATTATTCCTCCATCCTCATTATTCTTTTTTTTTTCGACTAAGAGACATAGAAACCCCAACTTTCAACTTCAAGTCCCCAAACTTAATCAACATTTATTAAGACCATCACAAACACATCTCAATAATACAAATCGCCTCAAAACCAACACCATAAATGAATCACAAAAATATCAACCATCATGCCTTTGTCCCCAAAATAAAAACACCTTAAGAATTTAACCAAATAAAATCAACTCAAGCTATTTAAACTAGCACAATAAATCCGAACCGACTCTCATGTCATCATTGCAAAATTCTACGTACATGCAATCTCACTCTCACACACAAGCAAATGTCATGCAATCAATCTAAGACTCAAACTCTAAGGGGCATAAATATAATGACATAATAAATCATGAATGCTCACCAAGAAACACATCCCCAAACTTAGAGCTTGCATATACCATCGACACCAATAATCACAAAAAATAGAGGTAAAAGAAACGAGTTCACCTTAATAAATGCAGAGGAAGTCTCTGAACCATGCACACCATTAGGTTGCCTCCCAACAAGCGCCTCTTTTTATTGTTGTTGGCCCGACTTATTGCTCTCTTTCATCAAAGGATCCATGGCGGCTTCGGAGGTGGCCTTAAGGGAGGCATCAATCTCACCGCACCATGTTCTACGAAATTCCCCCTCTCCGGTGTTGGATGCTTCACCGGATCTTTTCTCCATGACGCTAATTTCTTAAGGATGTGTAGCAACCCACGCTCGTTCACGGTCACCGCCTCAACAAAATCCCATTCACACCTTGTGTTTTGCTTGATCGTCTCAAGAGAAGGTATATCAAGGCCCAAGACATGCTTCAGTGCATCCTTTCTCAGTACCCACTTCATATTAGAATACATAGGACACGGTTCAGCTTCTATCGGCACAAGAGCGAGAAGAACGGTACGCTTTTTGGCTACAACAGGTCGAGTATGGGGTACTTCCGTATTCTGCTGCTCAGCCCCATATTCTGCAACTTGGTTCTCTTTTTCGCTCTCATTCTTCTCGATATTCGTGATTTTCTCGTTCTCCGGCTCGTGTGTGCACTCTTCAAGTTCCTCGAGGTCCTCGCTGTACGAATGGATGACGCTCAAACTCATTGGACTCGTTTCAAGCCGATACACTAGTCGGTCCATTTGTTCCGCCAATTGGCTCATTTGGCCTTCTAAATTCTTTATGCTTAGTTCTTGGCTCTTGAGGCTCGTCTCAACACCTTGCTGAAAGTTAAGGGTGTTCAACGTCAACTCCTTCATCATATCCTCGAGAGACGGACCAGGGTCGTTCTCAACAAGTGGCTCGGAGTGTTCTTGCAGAAATCTCAACGTGTGAGCCTCTAGTGCCTTCACCATATCCTCGAGCGATGGGCTGGGAAATCTCTCAACTAATGGCTCGGAGTACTCATGGAAAGAGTTCAAGTGCTCTCCCAAGCGGTGTTCATACTCATCGGGATAGAAGTAATCTTGTTCGTCTTTTTGCCAACCACTATGTCCTCTTACGCCTCGATCTCCAATCCACGGACTTTGTATCGCCCTCTCATACTGGTAAGGTGTACCGTAAGAATAAAAATCATGATAATAGGCTGCCATTCTCGAAAAGTTATGCTAAGCTCGCTAAAATCGCCCAAAGACAAGTTATTCTCGCGAGTATGGGGTCAATCACGCGAGTATGGGGGCGTCCAGTATTCTGCCAGCAAATAAAAATAACAAAAAAAAAACAAGGAAAAAAGGGGGGGTAAAAGATGATAAAAAAAAAAGTCAATTAGTACTCAAAAATCACCNTAAAAATAAAAACCAAAAAAAAAAACTCAATTATTACTCAAAAATCACAATTCAATAACGCCACTCCCCGGCAACGGCGCCAAAATTTGACCGCGCGTCACAAAGCGGCAAAATTAATATTTAAATTTTTCCTCAACTAATCCCTACTAACTAGTAGTAGTGGCGAGCAAGGGTCGACCCCACGAGGAGTGTGAATCAAATCGTGAAATGCTTGTATTAATTGAAATTATGAAAGCGATAAACGGGGGGTTTTAAGATTTAATTACTAAACTAAATAAAATCCTAATGAAGCAAATAAATTCTTAACAATAAAAATAAAATAAAATAAATGAAGAGAACTTTCTAGTTCACGGTTCCGTCTACACCCTCAACCAACTCGTCTAATCAACTTTGGTATCAAATCTCGCTATCTTATGAAATTACTAGCCCTAGGCAACGACACGGTCTGTTACCCGAATTTTTCTTTATCTTTAATTTAACCGCGAGACGCTCGACGATAAAACCTGACTTCTTGCACAATCCGGAAAAACGTTTTCAGGATTTAATACAATTAGCCGCTTTACGAATTAGAAATATAGGCTAGACTAATTAGTGAACTCAACCGCGTTCGTTCACTTAATTAGGCCGTGTTATCCCTGGTAGTTACTATCTTCCGGTTACCTCTTATGAATTAAACACAACAACAATTACGGATTGCAGGTCTAATTCAGATGTAGATATGAAAAGCCTAATCTAGGTGATCAATCTAAACAAGACTAAGACATCATGGTGAATTATTCAAAATAACACAAACAATTCCAAAAAGATAACTCAATAATCAACCAAGAAAATCAATCAAACATCATCAAGTCGTAGGTTTCGACTTCCCCGGAACTAGAAATAAAACTAGCCTAACATAATAAATAAAACAAAAGAAATAGAATAGAATTATCCTCTTTCGTGTGCGGGTGCGGCTTCCCTCCGCAATTCGTCGGACTCCTCGTCTGTCTGCGTCTTATTTTCTCTCGCTTGTTTTTTTATTTTCTCTGATTTCTCTATGATTGCGGCTGCTGTGCGTGAATATCCCCTTAAATAGTGGCTGCCCCCAAGTCTTATATATTGGTTCCCTTAATTAATTCTTCCCGCAATTGAAAGTGTCCTAATTAATCAATGTTTCATCCTGATTCTTTTTTCTCCAAAAATATTTTTGTGGCCATTTTTTTCTATCAACACAAAGCCCACTCATGAACCATATCCCAAATCATTATGGACATCCTCGAGTTGCTCTTAAAAACCTCCAGTAAGATTAATGAGTTGGGCTGGTATGTGGTGGCCCGTACTCTGCCGGCTGAAATCCCGTTTAATATCTCCACCTCCATAAAACTAATCCAATATCCTACAAATAAAACATAAAAATATCAAAGAACTAAAATTCCTCCAAAGTAATAAATAAGCCGAAAATTATATAAGTGTGATATAATTGAGCATATAACAATACGCTAATAAATATATAAAATACACACTTTTTCCGACAAATCAATGGTGGTAGGCCCGACCCAAATTCCCTCTTCGCCCATGCCTCATCCATCTTCCTCGTCAGGTTCTTCCTAAAATTATCTCCTGCCATTAGAGTTTTTTTTTATTTTATTTTTTTTTGGTGAAAAAATCAGCCTCTTATAGCCAGTAAAAAGTTGAATTTCCCACAGACGGTGCCAATTTGTTGCGCAATTTTCCTTTGGTCTGGTTGAACCGCACTTTGTTGATTTGAATCGTCTTGGCGTCCTTGATGACCTTCAAAACGCCGGGAGGGGTCCCGGAGGAAAACATTCCGACGCTCAAGTTAGTTCACGTTCAACAATAGTATGATCATGATGTATTTTTGCGTGTGTATGTGTATCATTTAAATAAAATAACCCGGACACCCTTATAGAGTTAGGGTTATTTCAGAAGTAAGACTCCCAGCAAAGTAAGAAGTTTTCCACATCCAACTTAATCTCCCCTCATTGTCCGACTCCTTGATGACATACACTTCTCCTATGCAAAGGACTCAGTTCCCTTCGTTTGTACGACTCTATTCTGGTATGATCCTTACATCCTCGGGACTTCATAAGTATTGAGGTCGCTGAGGTCATCATGTTGTCCTCAATCCTCATCGGCCCACCCGATGTGGCCTTCCTACTAGATGAGCTAAAGGCTCTAGCAAATCCTCCTAGAAGGTAGCCGAGCCAAAGGCTATTGCCGAGCTCCGCATGTTCTCCTATCGGGACGTCCTCGGCTATCCTCGGAGAGGGAACCGAGCTCAACTCTACCCGAGGTCGCTCCCCTATGAACATTAAGTATATTGTAAATAAAACAATTTTTGTTGGCACACAAAAAATTAGTATTCCAAATTAAGTGAAAGATTTAGTAGAGTTAAAAGATGATAATAATATATTTATATTAATTTATAGGAAATGCTACGGTCCTGTTACGGAAACATTCCGTCAGGGTTTGTAACCTTAGATCATCATGTAACCGTCAGAGATAGTTGATCTAATGGTTACAAACCCCGACAGAATGGTTCCGTAACGGGACCGTAGCTTTTCCTTAATTTATATTAATTAATCAGTATGCAAGAAGACAACAACATGGACAGATAACAAAGAGATTTGACATGCGAAAAATCAATGAAATATTATGCTTGATAAAATATGTAATCGTAATGAAATGCAAACGAAACTCTGTGACATTTACAGATCATGCTTCAGGCATACTTAACTCATAACATGACCAAATTTTGCAGTGATGTGATGTAATGTAAATACTTCATAACAAAATATAAACCGTGTAATGTAATGTAAATATTTTAAAAATAATATAGTAGCGACGTTCTATGCATCCGCCTCATCGGTATCCTCAGAAGAAGAAGTGGTATCGTCACCTACCCCGCAGTTGTTCGTATTGACCTTTTGTTGTTTCAATGGCCTCGAAGAAGAAGAACCCTCTTCAAAAAGGCCACGTTTAAAAGAGCTATCACCCACGATTTCCTTGAGCTTTTGCTCTTTTAATGGAGTGCTAACTTCCTCTTCTGATTCCTATACAAATTAATTAAATAAATAAATATTAAGCCTGGTGAAAGAAATAAAGAATAAAAAAATTATTTTCGATAATGAATAAAATACAACGTTAGAAAAATAAAATAAACTTTGCGTCTTACATAGCCTTCTTCTAGTTCCTTTTGCAGCATGGTCAGAAAATCCGATTCCTAATAATAATGATAGCAATAATCTTTGTAATTGATATTAACTAAAATAAACTATAATTTTTAGAATTACACTTTTGGTATAAGAATATGGTACCTCAACATTAATGGTTGAAGAATTGAATTTTTCAACCAATTTTTCATCTCCTATGATTCAGTTCACCGTGTAGTATCCACTAACTTCTTTCGGCTTGACCAAGATCTTAAACAAAAGTGTCTTACCAACCAGGCAACCACACCCTCTATTAGTGGTGGTAGATTATCGTGGCCCTGTTACTAAAACAGCGAGAAAATGAAAGTGACTTTACATCCTATACTATGAATAATTAATAAATGAATACAAGTAATTATAATTGGCATTAATTAATATATAAATATTATTAATTATTAGAATAGAAAGAAAATATCCATTACTCAGCTTCATTTTTAAGATTAAAGCATGATTTACCATCAACAAACTTAGAGAACACGGGATCCCAACAAATTAGGGAAATGTCTCCAGTAAAATCCCAAACATCCATTTCAATTTTGTACCTACAATATGAAATATAGCTCGTCACTTCAAATATTTTGTTTGAATTATTTATTATAGAAATTTTGAAATCAAACAATTAAACCTGAAGAGAGGTGTTTTGATATCCCCATGTTTTTCACAATGATAATTGTTGTCAGAACGTTTGACCTTCTTTGGACACTTTAGGCATGAGATGTACCACTAATTTTGTGATATATTTCTCACTTTTGCGCATACCCAATGCTCTCCAATCTATAAAACATATAAATATTCTTTTTATATATTTAATTTATTATGAATGAGATGTCAAATGAATATTTAAAATAAAAAAAATATTAAAGAATAAATAATATCAGAGTATATATATAAGTGAACTTACCATTTTGCCATCAACAAAGTAGTCAAGAGTCCTAACATCAATATTTCCAGCAGCCAATTCCTTAAGTTCCGATTTTTTGGGCACAACACTCTCAAGAATTATCTAACCTCCTTCGATACTTGAAAGCCTATACAAAATTCATATCATTAATTAATTATGTATTGAATGATGTTAATCATAACTGCATTCATTTCTAAATCTGTTCTCCACTGTCTACCAATTTGCATAAGAATTTTAGACTAATACGTTATTTGTAATTAATTTAAATTTTCTAATTATTTTTTGAGCCCCAATGACCTATTCTTTATGTACGATTTCATGACAACAGAGACTCAGCCATTGAGTGCGAAAAAAATAAAAGAGTACTTTTTCATCCGGAATACTCTCTTCAGACATAATCGTCACTTCAAACACGGATTAAAGATCACAGTTGGCTTGGTGATATGATTAAAAAAAACCGAGCATTTATATTATAGCTATATAATATGATACTCAAGTTATGTGGACAAATAGGTCAATATAATACATTTTTTGAGAATAAAAATACATTACCTATCTTTGTAGGCTTGGATCTGCGGCACAAAGAACTCCAGTCTCTACCCTCGTGGCATTGTATGAAGTTGAGATTGTTACAATCTCTAGAAATATAATAAAAAGTTAAAATATTTGTGAAATTTTACTATATGAGAAAATATCTAAAGAAATTTTAATCTTACTCCCACGATAACTCTCCCATATCTTTGCACGACACATTTGAAGAATCACCATAGTTGGAGGTCGATCTTAATTGCTGACATATGATGTAGTTTTATTGATATGGTGTCCCCACAGCGAACATGTCATCCGTTTTCCCCTAGTAATTAATTAGGGAATTGAGAAATATAAAGATCAACAATGGTTTATATAAAATCTAATCTAATAATAATAATTAAAAACTAATAATAACTATTATTACTTACTCAAGATCTTCAAGGACGATCTCCATCACTTGATTGGCATAATCACGAATGTGCTTGGTTTGCACTTCACAAAGCTCCGCCAACCTTCCAATGATGTCTGCAGAAAAAAATAATTTATCACATTAAACAATTTAATATCAAATGTTAATTTCAAAAACAAAGTCAAAAGAAGTGTTACATAGTATAACATCAATTTATCGTAAAACAAAATACGATAAATTTAAATATACTTACCAATGAGAAGAGTGTCACAAATTTTTTAGGGAATCAATTCCGAGAAGGGTGTAAAAATTATAAGCGTGATCAGTAAATTTCACATCTTCAATTTCAATGCACAAAGTGCGTCCGTTGAAGCAAAAATGATAGTTAGCAGTTGTTTTATAGTCACCCTCTTGTCACTCCTCTAAGTGGTAATTTTTTATAGAATAAAATTTTTCCTTCTACAAGAGTCTTCTTGATATCTCTATCATTTTGTTTTATAGTACCTTGAATCCGGCATAACGTGGATTAAAGATATTTCAAAGATATTGCTACCCGTATTACAAATCTTGTTGCTGCGGGTTCTAAATTCACGGGATCAATAAATCAATCAATAAATATTCAATATATTGTTATACAAACAATATTTCCAATTTTATCCGAAAAATTTCAACGGGAAAATTTCGTCCATTTTTGACAAAATTGATTGGTCCATTCTATATAGATATATATAGATATAGATTAGCCAACAATTATATATAAATTGTTGGCCGCATACTATTTTAGTAGTTTATAATAAAATGAAATTTCATGGCCCTAAATGCAATTAGAGAACTTTGATAATTCGATCTAACTTTGGGGAAAATGCTACGATTTTTAACAATTTCAATTCAGCGCTGTAAGGTTCTCTCTCAAATTGAACGTATTCTCTCCACTCAGCTCTGAGCAATGGCGGCATCTGGCAGAAGAAACGGATTAACAATGGCGACGCAGCTCATCAGAACCCTAACCGCACCCTCCAATTCTCGAAGCTTTACTGGCATCGTCAGCACCGAGGTCATCACCTCCCACACCGAAAAATGGATGCAGGTACTCTCAACCATTTTATACAACTTCAGAGGTTCTCTATGATGAAAATTGTTCAATTTTTTTTTTTGGCTTCTCTTGTTGTTAGGACAAAACCAATTCCTCTGATGATGTGAACTCAAGGATATTGCTATTTTCTATTTTAGATGTGAAGAACAACATCAATTTCTTATTAGTCATAGTTCCTTCGATCGAAATTAGGTATCTTCTCGCTGCTATGATTATCTATTGTGTTAAAGCGTTAAAACATTGAGGCAAAATTATGGTGTTGATATGCCCCTTTGTCTACAGCATCTTGCTAAAATTAATGTATTTTCCCCTGAAAAGTTAAGAAATTAAATCCCTTTCTGGTTTACTCAACCTATCAAGCCTGCAGCCCTAACTTTTGATTACTTCTCCAATTGCTTAACTTCTTTTGTCCTCGAATTCGCTAAACCTGGAGAAAGCCTGCTTAGGTTGGAATATAGTACACTAAGGACATTATTGCAGTCATATTGTAGGTTTCTTTTCTTACTTTGTGCCGTCGTGATCTCTTCACGTTACTTTGACATGTTGTCAGGGTAAGTATCTGTAACATAAGTATTTTTTTCAGCTCATGCTATTATGCCTCTTGATTTTTATTCGCGAATTTGGTACAAAAGATATGCTGGAAGGGGTATATTAAGTGGTGTACTGAAGGACGATTAATGTGACTTGACATTCCCGAGTGTGACGATTGTCATATTGGCTTACGGTATTAGATAAAAATGTAAAAGTTGCGAGGATTGAGGCATTCAATTTGTTAAGCCACTTATTATCTTACCAAAGCATTCATCTTCAGTTGATAATCCATAATATACGACTTAATATTTTCCCTTTTGGTTTGTAGTTTTGTCTTTATTATGTAACTATGCTCCCATGGGTTGATCCATTGCTTTTATACTTGAATGGTGACTAGCTCCTCTCTCATTCTTTGACATGTGTGATATACATCTCTAGGTAGAAAGATATGATTGCATGCCTAATAATTGCTTATGTTCGACTGATATAGGATACAAGTAAAAAGTCTCCAATGGAGTTGATCAATGAAGTACCACCGATCAAAGTACAAGACAGGATTGTTGCTTGTGAAGGAGGTATGTATAGAATAGTGCACACGGTTTTCATCAGAAAAGTAAACTGATAGAGGGCAGCCATTTCCTGATCCAAGTTTCCAATACCATTTCTTGTTCCCCTTGCCTTTCTTTTCATTTTTATTTTTTTTTTTGTATTTTTTTTTTGTATTTTTTTTTTTGAGAAACTATTCCCCTTTCTGGCAGATCATATTATTTCCCCTTTGTTGCAGATAATAACCCAGCACTGGGGCATCCAATTGAGTTCATATGTCTCGACAAGGCAGAGCCAGCTATCTGCAAGTACTGTGGCCTGCGCTATGTGCAAGATCATCATCATTAAACCATTGGATCAATTGTTAAGCTGTTTGAAGGTTTATAATCAATCGCGTTAAACAGATTCAGATTGATTTTCGATTTTCTGACTACATAATGTTTGGCTTGTGATTGCCAGTTTCCGAACGATTTTGGATTTTCTGACTACATTATGTGTTGGCTTGTGATTGCCGTATTTTCTCGTCTCCTTAAAAAATAAGTATTAATTTTAAACTTCTAAATGGAATTTGTTTGCTTGCGTTGTATTTGTATGTACTCATCACATCAGCTGATTGATATTTTTCTAGGTAAATTACATTAAATAGTTGTTGACAAATCTATAGTAGAAACAAAAATTGTTGCCATGAATGAATAGGCAAATTTATTTTGCTGAATCTTACTATCTCATGGTTGTAGTGAGTTAGCCACCGTAACCCACACCAAATTTTTCCCTACTTACAGGGGAAAAACAATACCAGCATCTTCCTAGATAACAAAATTCTGGGCCCTTTACGAAGTCTAAAACTTAACATCATACTAACTAGAATTTTCATTCAAAAAAGTTAAAAAAAAAATAAAATAAAAAATACAATAGAAGCCAAATAGAATTCACAATGACCTAGCTAAGCAACTTTTCCTTCAGCCAACGCGAGTTTCTTTCTCTGCTGATGCTCGGCAACCTTATAATCAACCACTTCACGGAACAAATTAGCATCCAAAACGCAATCTTCACTACCATAAACTGCAGCCTGAACTCCCGCCATCAACTTAGCAATCTCTCTCCCAGAGAAGCCCTCGGTTTTGGAGGCAGCTTCCTTGATGACATCATCATTCAATCCCTTGATCTCAATCTGCTTCTGCTGTTTCTTGAAGAGATGGGAAAACAAGCCCGGTTTTCTTGCCCCGGCTTTTGCAATGTACTTATTGAGGTACAATTTGAGCAGCTTGAAACGTTCTTCTTCACCGGGTAAAGGGAATTCCAAGACTTCATCTATACGGTCAGCCACAGCCGAATCAAGATCACTAGGTCGATTGGTGGCTAAGGCAAGGACTATGTCTTTCGACTGGTCACCTGTGCGGAATAACAGCGCGTTTAGTGCACTCCTTTGGGCTTCGCTCATATATGTTTTATTCCGCCTGAAAATATTGATAAGAATAGTGTTAAGAGAAGTAATTAGTATGATATTAAAATCTTTAAGATCGAAAAAATGTGGTATGATTAGTCGTGTTAGTAGATATTTAAGTTTTAAAATAATATTTAAAATAAAATAATTAAAATTGATTTGATGTAAAAGTATGAGAAAAATGATTGGAAGTGATGGTTAGTTAAAATTATGTGAGTGGATGAATAGTGAATTAAAGTTGATGTGATGTGTAATAATGGTTGGTTGATATTATTTAATTATATTGATAATATTGGAAATAGTGGGGTTGGGTTAAAGTTGAGTTAAATTTGAGTTTTGATTGGGTTTTTTTTTTTTTTTCANATTGCTTCATTTCGGCATACGAAGCAAGTATGTGGCCTAATCTTCTTATGAAAGAGATGAAATAAGTCATGACTAAAGAACTATTTGGCAAATACCGATAAATGTATCAACAGTAAAGTACTTCAGCTGACCCGTAGTTTCTACTAGTGCAAATTTCACTTTGGAAATCACCTAGAGAAATTTTTTTCAAATTAGGAATATATGAAAGAGAAGTTATAGGGAATTTGTAAAGAATTTTCAGGGCGAATTTACTTACTCGCACAAGAATGCATCTGCTTCGTCAATGAAGAGCAACAAACCCCTATTGGACTTCTTCGCCCAATCAAAAAGCTGGTGTATCTTCGTGACAGCCTGAGAACCCAGTGGCGCAACATCACCTCCGGTCATCAGTGCATAATCAAGGCCCTATATGCAAAAAAAGAAAGAAAAAAAGAAAAAAAAAACTATCAAACAAAGGAAATTCCATTGGATGAGGTTGAAAGTCTCTCCATAATTCCATATTCAAGATCTCCAACTTAAAACCAGTTCTTTTTCATGATAGGCATTCCCCTTTTCAAAATACTTAGAATCGTTTGCTAAAACGAGAATGCAGAATACAGAGCAACCAATTATTTAACCAAACTGATAAAATAAAGTTAATCTCTACAAGGAGGAAAGTGTTGTTATGATTGTCATACAGATTTACGGGCAAGCTCCCTAGCAGCCATGGTTTTCCCCGTTCCAGGTGGCCCATAAAACAGCATATTTCTAAATGGTGCTTGATGAGCTTTTGTGTTTGCTGTTGCATTCGCCAGCTGCTCAATTCGCCTCTGGAGAGAAGGGTGTAAAATGACATCGCCAAAACTGTTTCCATTTTGAGAGCCGGAACTTTTATTGGCCCCACGCATGGAAAATGTGCTCAAGCCACGTGAGAATAGCCCAGACCATGGGTACTTCCCTCGAGAAGATTCTCGGATAAGTGATGGTTGTCCTAATATTCGGTCCACATAACTCCAAATCACCCTGGCACCTTCTCTGAAATTATAAAAAGGAAAAAAAAAATTATTTTAGATAATTAAAAGGGTTGATAATAAAATATCAGCTATCACTTAATTATAAGACATGTAATTTCCATGTCACAAGCTGTAGGGTTCAAGGAAACAACATGCAACCTGCATGGATGGCGGTACTGGTCTACTATGATTCTTTACAAATCATCGAAACAAAAAAAGTAGGTCTTTCAAACGAGAAAAAATATCTCAGTTTGAAATGTTGTTCAGAGTATTGCGTGCTTAGACAAATATTTTCTAAATGTGAACATAGACATACAATGCATTGCAGATAATCTGTTTCATCTAATATTAGCATTCCAATATGGTAGTACCTTGTCGTGTAGACCCCAGCTGCAAGAGCTGTTACTCCACCAACAGCTACAACCAACTTATTCTGATCTGTTAAAATAGCTCGCAAGCCCCCTGTATGTAAAAATGAGGTGATCAATTAAATCTTATTCAAAACCTTCACCCAGTAAAGAAAAGAAGAATAAAAAAAATAAAATGTCATCAAAAGCAAGGAGCATTAGTCTGCATAAATAAAAGGTCACCCAATAAGTTGCACATATATAATACATCAACTGGTCCAATAAGGTAGAAAATAAATCTTCGCACACCAGAACTCATGCTACTTAACNAAAAGGTCTTCTGGATATCACAGAAGAGTAGAAGACACATTTTATAGTAAAGACTAAAGAGAAAATGACACCAACGACAAAAAAGGAAATTAAAAGAAAAACCTCCAATTTGATCGAAAGTCGTGTTGATAGCGGCAACCCACTTTTCACGCTCTGCATTTGCACGTTCAACAAGCATTCTTCTGTTGACATCCTCCGCGAGCTTGGCTTCATGGGCCCTACCCTCGGCCTCCGCCATAGCCTTTACCTTTATAGTCTCACGCTCTATCTCAGCCTTTTCCCTTTCAGTCTGCCGGCGTTGTGCTTGAATCATCTCCTCTGTGGCTCGTCTGGCTGCCTCTTGCCTCATAGACGATTCCTCTTGCATTTTCACGAGTTCTTGATTTCTCGCTCTTTGATGCTCGTTCTCGGCCTGCACAAAGTCAGTGTCATCTGGTGTTCAATAATTACTTACTAAAACTGCCGCTTATTCGGGATATGAATGAAAAAGAGGTCAGGCACCTGCATCCTTTTCCTTGCCAGCTCATCTTCATACTTAGCCATCTGTGATTTGATCTGTGCTTGTTGCTGAGCTAGCTTCTTCTGTTCCTCATAGACCACTCTCTGCCTCTCCTATAAAAATTAGAAAGTTGTTTCCGATGCTTGTTAAATGTGAAAACATAAAATTCTTACATGCACAAAAGTGTCATCTTTGACGGTTTGCATTGTGGAAGAAACACCATAATAGGATTAATTTGGTTGATTGGATATAATGAAAATCTACAAACTATTACTTAATTATTCCTATGATAAGGCTCCATTTTCTTGATCGAAAAAGCAACTTATCCCAAATGAATGCATAAAGAGAGCAAATACTGACACGAAATGACATTAGACCAGATCAATAACTGTTGCTTGAGACCCTTATGTGAAACAAATATGTAAGAGACCGTGTACATATTAAAGAAAAGATAAAAAAGATACATCTATATTTGTTAACAGATTAAGAAATTACAACTCATATTAGGAAATGAATCTTACAGCTTCTGCCTGAGCCTGCATTGCTTTGAATTCCGCAGCTTTCGTTGTTAATTCTTGCTGCTTCGTTTCTTCTTGCTTTTTAATCACTTCAAAAACCTAAAGTATTAGGTACAATCAAACAAAAGACCCATTATAGGCATGCTTCTCTGGAAATTATGATACCATCTTCCAAGTAAACCACACATTTCAGAAGTTAAAAACGTTTTTATTCACCCAATTACTAAGATTCTTACGGACACTATGAAAAAACCACAACCACCAATATATGAGATTTAAGTTCCAATTTCTCAACAGATATAACTAATTCAAACATGATAACTGACAAAATAAAAAAGTGGAACAACAACAACAAAATAAAAAAGTGGAAAAAAAAAGAAAAAAAAAAAAACAGAACCTTCTTAGCTTGTGAAGAGCCAGTAATCTCCTGCAAAGCCTTGACACCCCTCTCCAAAGCCTCGGGGTCGAACCCAGCGGACGTTGTCCTTGGATAATCATTACGAACCCGTGGTGGCTCGGCGGCAGCCGGCTGAGGTGGAGCATTCGCCGGCTCTGGAGTTACCTGCTGAGGAGCCGCCGAAGAAGTATTAGAGAAAGGGGAAAATCTGAAGGGCCCATCCGCATAAGCATGATCAACGCCGAAAGTAGCATATGCCAGACCAGCTAAAATCCCAGATGCGCAATTTTTCGCCATTTTTGAGGAAAACAAATTCTATTTGCTTAATCGTAAAGGTTGATATAAGTTATGTAGGTACGAAATGCATAAGGCGAAGTGAAGTTAACAGTTTAGAACATTAGCTTGAAGGAGAAGAAAAGGGGGAAGATGCCATTGATGGTTTCGGGGAAGAGCAGCTTCAGGGTTTTTGTAGGGTTTGCTGCCCATTTGTTGGGCAATAGAAATAATTCTCTTTTGTACGTGGTTTTCATTTTTAAAATTTAATTTGGATTAAATAAAAAAAAAATATGTCCATGATNGATCTTGGTCCATGATTATTTGATTAATCCTCCTAAATAAAATTTCATAACATTTTTAAAATTTAATTTGGATTAAATAAAAAAAAAATATGTCCATGATCTTGGTCCATGATTATTTGATTAATCCTCCTAAGAGCATCTTCTATGCCACATGGCAGTAATTAATTAAAGTGTGATTTTTTATAATATCAATGTTGACATCGTATAATATGACAGTGTAAAAGTATCTCCAATGCTTTACTTTCCTTGTATGTGTACATTTATTAATTCGGAATAAATTTTGGAAAGAAAAAAAATAATTATGTAAGTAAATACAACGTAGTTTAATTTTTAAAATATAAAAATTATAATTACATTCAATGTTATTTTTATGTACATGTATCGGGTAAATACAAAATGGTTTAATTCTTGAAATATAAAAATTATGTTATTTTTATGTATCAAGTTAATAAATGGTTTAATTTTTAAAATATAAAAATCATGTTATTTTTGTGTATTAAGTAAATACAAATTTTGACACATTAACGTAGTTTAATTTTGAAAATATAAAAATTGTAATTACATTCAATGTTATTTTTATGTACATGTATGTGTATCAAGTAAATACAAATTTTGACACATTAACATAGTTTAAGTTTGAAATGTAAAAATTGTAATTACATTCAATGTTATTTTTATGTACATGTATCGAGTAAATATAAATGGTTTAATTTTTGAAATATAAAAATTGTGTTATTTTTATGTATGAAGTAAATACAAAATAGTTTAATTTAAAATATAACAATCGTGTTATTTCTGTGTATCAAGTAAATACAAATTTTGACACGTTAACGTAGTTTAATTTTTAAAATATAAAAATTATAATTACATTAAGTGTTTTTTATGTGTATGTATCATGTAAATACAAATGATTTAATTTTTGTAATTATAAAAATCGTGTTATTTTTGTATATCAAGTAAATACAAATTTTTACATGATAGTTTAATTTCTAAAATATACAAATTGTAATTACATTCAATGTTATTTTTATGTGTATGTATCATGTAAATACAAAATAGTTTAATTTTTAAAATATAAAAATTGTGATATTTTTATGTATCAAGTAAATACAAAATGGTTTAATTTTTAAAAATATAAATCGTGTTAATTTCATGTATCAAATAAATACACACGTTTACTGTCGAATACACTGTTTGTCTTTAAACAGTGCGCTTCACAGTAGTCCTTCCACGTCACAAAAAATTGGACAATGACAGAGTCCATTGGAGATAAAAATATGAAGACATTGTCTTCAATGATGACACTGACATTCTTTTTTTTTCCAGCATTGGAGATGCTCTAAATATACTTTCATGACATGTTGAGCCTAAATGGCTACGCTTTAGACATATAATCAAGCTTGGTTGCCAACTAGTCATCTTGATTACCATAATATGTGGTAAAATATATTGTTATTATTTACGTTTTCACCAATAAGCATCTTTTCTTTTTATTTCCTTTTGATTTATGGCTTTTTTCCTAATCTCAATGATTAATTTTTTTTTTTTTTTACGAAACGGTAGATATATTATAAAACTCAAAGCGAACAAAGTTCGAATAGTACAAACCAAGATCGAAAAGAAAATTGAGAGGACACGCATATAGTGGCCTAGAACCACAACTCTAACAGAAAGAAAACTAAATACCATCCACT